ACAATATGGTACCAGACATGCTGAGGAACATGAACGTGAGCATCTTATTCCTGAAAAGCCCCCCCGCGGTGGACGCGAGCCCTAGCTGCCCGCCTGCACCTGTCGGAGCCGCGGGCGAGGTGCCCGGACGGGGGGAAGGGGGTCGGGCTGTCGGGGGCCCGCCTCGGGCTCAGCGCCCACCTCGGTTTTCTTGCTTTCACCTATCGGGGTACCCACCCGGTTCGGTCACCCTGTGCTCTGGGTTCTTGCCACACGCTCGTGTTCTTGCATCGTTCTCATCAGTGGGTCTGTCCGACTTGTTCTCTGCTTGTTTTCCTTAACGGTAAATTGTGTCACTTTTTGCACAAAATAAGTAGTTTTTCAAAATGTTGAAGCGCCGTAGTTGTTTAAACGTTCCCCAACTACTGTCGCAGTGACTGCCCCGTTATTATGGTTGATAGTTTTTTTTATATATAACGTGTACAAGAGAAACAGAATAAAGCTGTGTCCAGAGACCTCCCCGACCTGTTCCGGATCACAACCCTTGCCCTCTCCCCTCGCTCACTTTGGGAGGTGATCACTTCTCTGCCATTCCTTGTGATTTATTAGTTGTATAGGCATTTTTCAGCAGTACAGTTTGGTTTTGCCTGGCTTGAACTTAATGTTACGGTATCATATCGTGTGTTTCGCGTGAGTGATGTGGGTGTGTCTGACTTCTTCGTGTTGACACCTTGACACATTCATCCAACCTACGGCCCCGCTGTGGTTTAATTTTCACTGCTGAATAGTGTTCCATTCTCTGAGTATGCGTATGGTTGGGCATCTTTTCATGTGCTTATTCATTATTTGATGTTCTTTTTTGTTAATTGTTCAAGAAAAAATTTTCCCCCATGTATTTTTTTCATTGCTTTGTAGGAGTTTTATTTATTATTATTTTAAAAACATTTATTTATTTATTTATTGCTGCATTGCACGGCTTGCAGGATCTTAGTTCCCGGACTAGGGATTGAACCCTAGCAGTGGAAACGTGGAGTCCTAACCACTGGACCGCCAGGGAATTCCCGCTTTGTAGGAGTTTTTTAAAAAATAAATTTTGAATAGCAGCCTTTCTTCGGATGTGTATGTTGCAGATTTCTTCCAGTTGTGTCTTGATTTAGCTTGTCCATGGAGCCTTCAGTCACAGGAGCTCTCAGCTGTATCTAAGCAGGTGTACTCCTCTTACGATATGCTTCCGTGCTGGGGGGCCGGGGGAGGGAGCTCCCTGTGGTCTTGTCAGAGATTGTCCAGTTTTGCCTTCCGCTTATATAGAGTCTTTCTCCTGTGCAGAGTCCTCCAAGAATCTGGCCTGCGGTGGGTGGAAGTTTGTCTCCCCCATAACCTGTTTATTAACCATACTTGTCCCGAGTTCATGGCCAAAACTTTAAATAAGAAAAAGCCAGTTTTGGCCGAAGTCATGTTGGGATCGAAGCCTGGCCACAACGCTTGCCCTTGAACAGGTCTCAGTAATTAAGGATCTTAAGGAAGTGAGAGAATGCAGGAACAAAGGAAAAGCAGTTAAGAAATGGTAGTTTGGCGATAAAGCAGAGTCCTAGTTCTTCCTCCAGGGATGTAAGTAACGATCTGATACGCATCTTTCTGTTCTGCAAGAGCTAAGACCCCCACCAGGCAGAGGATGGAATGATGATATTGACCTATGTGACTTCCGTCAGCCCCCAAAGCCCCCTCATGAATATGCATGTACCCATAGCTTAAAACTTCCCCACTTTTGGCGTTGGGGAGACACAGCTTCGGGAAAGATCCTGCTGTTCCCCTTACTGGCTGCAAGGAACACATCCTTCCTTCTTTTTGGCTTGGTTGTGTCTTTTGGCTCAACACTCATCAAGAGGTGAACCCAGTTTGGGGGTAACAATTGTAGTAGATGTGAACATGAATGAATATTGAATTTTATCAAATGTTTATAATGTCTATTGACATATAGTTTGCCACATTTACAGAATAGCATTGTGTTTTTTGTTTTTGTTTTTGTTTTTTGGCTGCCTTGGGTCTTCATTGATGGGCGGGCTCTCTCTAGTTGCAGCGAGCAGGGGCTACTCCTTGTTGCGGTGCGCGGGCTTCTCATTGCGGTGGCTTCTCTTGTTGCAGAGCACGGGCTCTAGGCATGTGCGCTCAGTAGTTGTGGCTCGCGGGCTCTAGAGCGGGCTCAGTAGTTGTGGCGCACGGGCTTAGGTGCTCCGCGGCACATGGGATCTTCCCGGACCAAGGATGGAGCCCATGTCCCCTGCATTGGCAGGCAGATTCTTAACCACTGCGCCACCAGGGAGGTCCCAGAATAGCATTAGCTGTTAACCAACCTGGCGTTCCTAAGTTGGTCATTTTATATGTAGGATTATGTTGTCCTGATATTTTGTGTAGGAATTTTGTATCTGTGTTCATGGGTGAGATTAACCTCTAATTTTACTTTCCCAGACTGTCTTTGTCAGATATTGGTGTTGAAGTTATGCTACCCTTATAAAAGGAGTGGTAATGTATCTTCTATTTTCCTCTTCTTTGGAAAGTTTGTCTAACAATGGAAGTGTTTCTTTTTAAATGTTTGGTAGAACTTAGTGATAAAGCCGCCTAGGGGCCTGGATTTTCTCTGTGGGAAGATATTTTAGTGTTGATGCTTGGTTTTATGTTCTTCATAAGTAAAATTTTCTGGATATTATATATTTTCTAGTGATTTGGCAGTTTCTATTAAAACTTCAAATGTATTAGCATAGAGTAGATAATAACATTCTCTTATCTTTTTTAAAAAATGTTTATTTATTTATTTTGGCTGTACTGGGTCTTAGTTGCAGCTTGCGGACTCTTAGTTGCGGCATACATGTGGGATCTAGTTCCTTGACCAGGGATTGAACCCGGGCCCCCTGCATTGGGAGCGCGGAGTCTTATCCACTGCGCCACCAGTGAAGTCCTGGTTATTTTCTAATCACTGCATCCTATGAGTTTTGATAGTGTTTTCATTACCAAGTCACAATATTTTGTCATTTCTATGATGATTTCCTCACTGACCCCTTTGTAATTTAGAAATGTTTCTTAATTTCCATACATTGGAGGGAGGGAGGTTTTAGTTATGTTTTTACTAGTGATTTCTAGCTGGATTGAGTGCTTGTCAGCAAATATAGTCTATATTATTTCAGTCATTTGAAATTTAAGATTTGCTTAATGGTGAAATATGTGGTCAGTTTTTGTAAACATTGCAAGTGAGTTTCAGAAGCATTTTATGATCAAGTTTGGTGATCCATTGCCCAGTATATGTTCATTCGGTCAAATTTGTTTAATCGTGTTGTACAGGTCTACTGTATTCTTACTGATTTAGAAAAATTTATCAGTCAATGAGGGGATGTGTTTATCTCTATTATGATTATGGATTTGTCTAGTCCTTATAGTTTTATCAACTTTTGCTTTCTACATTTTGAGGTTAAGTTATTAGGTGCACACAAGTTTAGAATTGTTATTGTTGCCTTGTGAACTGAACCATGGATCTTTATATAGCGGTCTCTATAGTCGGTAATGTTTTGTCTATTTTTGTCCAGCATCGATCTAGGTATACCAGCTTTCTTTCATTGATTTTGTAAAATATATAGTTTGTTCTTGGATTCTGTCTGTATTACAAGAAATTATAATGAAGAACTTGCTTAGCTAGGTTGAAAATGAACTAGGCCATTCTGGATAATTTAGTTTTCTGAAAGGCATTTTTATTATATATTCAGTGTTAAAAAACAAAACAAACTCTCCAAAACATCCCAATTCACTTAGCTATTTTAATTATCTTTCTTTAGGGTCTGATACCTTAGGGGATAACATTCTGAAGATTAAGCTTTTTTACATAGCACCATAGATACAGGGGGACTAGATGGCTGGGCTGTGTGTGTTCTGCACTGTATTAGCCAGGGTTCTCCAGAGAAACAGAACAAATAGGATGCGTGTGTACCTTATGTATACCTATATATAACATATGGGGGGGGGGGGGAGCGGGGAGAGACACTGGTTTTTATTGAAAGGAATTGGCTCACAAAAGCCTCCTGAAAAGTCCCAGGAGCTGCAGCCAGAATGTTTGAGACCCAGGAGAGCTAAAGTGTAGTTCCAGTCTAAAAAGCCAGCAGGTCAGAGACCCAAGAGGAGCCAGT